TGGCAAATCTCATTGCAAATTTTCTAGTGTGGCATGTGAAAAACAGTAGCCTATGTGGCTGCAGCATCTGAGCTGATCAGTTTCTGCCTCTAAGACAAGAACTGAGTGATCGCGTGACCACTGGGCTCTCTGCTCACGTGACCGTCAGTCACTGGCTCTGCCCATCCAGCACTCTCTGGAATACAGTTGTGGAGGGGGTGGCAGTGGCAGGCTCTGGCTCTTGGCAGCATGCAGAGGCTTGAGTAAGCTGCCTATTGGGCATCTTGGTTTACCTCAATGACTCCTGAACCAGCTCTGACATCTGCCAACTGGCTTTAGACAGCTGTCAACTGAATCTGGGTCACAGGAGTGTGAAACAAAGTCCACTCTTTTTTTTTTTTTTTTGGCCCACATGAGAACTGTGGCCAAAAGAGCTTTGGCCATACTTGTCTTTAACCATGTGGCTACTAGCACATAGTCCTGCATTACCAGTGGAGTCGGGTTCAGTGCTGTGCTCATTTGGCTAGCTTTTGGTTATGCGGTGAATACAATTTTAGCTGGTTCAGCATGGACCAGGCAAATTTTTGATCTGTGGCCATCCCTGCTCAGCAGAATTTTGATCATTTTGTTTAACATCTGTTAATGGGATAGGAGTATTTATTTTATTTTTTTTTTTTCCTTCAAGCAGCAGCTGAAGCAAATATGATAGCGGCAGGTGCTGCTGTCAGAAAATATTGTCCTGGCAGCTAGAAGTGTTTCCTTTCAGCATGTGGGCTAAATGGGAGACTAAAGCTGGCCATTCGTGGGTTGAATTCCAAATTCTTTTGAACTTTGCACCATTAGTGGGGCCACAGAAATGGCCAATTTTCAAGTGACCATTGAATTTGAGTCATTTGGCATGTTGTACATTTTCCCAAAAATTTCCAATCAATGATTGGAGAATAGTACAAGAAATGTAGTTAAAGAAATGAGCATGAGTTGTGACCTAGAAAGAGAATTCTTGGCCACTAATATTCTGTAGCAACAGGAGGGGAAATTTAAAGGCTTGGTTAGTCAAATTTTTAAATCTATGGTGGTACCATCAGATTATAAAGTTCACAAGTTCTACATTTTCTTTGGGGGGGGGGGGGATTAGTTTGGCATTCAACCCTTGTATGGCTTGCATAACGGCATATGGCCAGTTTTAGCAATTCAACACTAACAAAGCTCTCATCTTTTGAGATGGCTTTCTTTTGGTGGCAATAACCCCTTCCTGCTGTGCCTCCAAGCTCTTTAATTGCTGGAGGTGGGCATTCTGGTCATATGACCCCCCCCCTCCCTTCCATATGTATCAGGAGCTTTCAGGTCCCTGCTGGTAACTTCACAGCGCACTCTTGGCACAGGTGTTTTCTATATGGGGCCATGTATATGGAGGCATTTAAGCCCACCTGCTGACAGTATGCATACCTCCAGCCCAGCAGGAAGAGGTAAATTAGTGTGGTGGTTTCCTTTTTTTAATGGTAGAGACTACAAATTTGTGTTTGCTTAAACTTGTGTTCATTTCTTTAACTTAAAAAATATCACCCTTCAGTTGTTCAGTGTCACTTTAACCTCCCTTCCATGTGCACCTTACTGTAAAGGCTAGTTATAGGTTGGGGTGGTTGCCACTTCTTGTACAGTTGGAAAGAGTGGTTGCAGGGACACACTGAATGCCTTCACTGCCATTTTGCTTTTGCTGGGTGTTGCACAAATCCAAAGGCCTTTTAAAGAGGGGTGGGCTCCCTCCAGTCAAACCTGCCCTTAATATATCCATTCTTACGTACTCCTACTATGGAGGTTCTGGAAATTTTAGAGTTGGGACTGCAGTATATACAGTGCCTTGAAAAAAGTATTCATACTCCTTTTTTGAAATGTAGTAGTTCAATACAGCTGTTTTTGGTTGTATGTGATAGAGCCACACAAAGTGGCACATACTTGTGGTGGAAGGAAAATTATATAATTTTTTTTTGTTCTGAAGTGGCATTTGTGTTCAGCCTCCTTTACCCTGATACCTCCTAACTAAAATCTGGTGGAACAAATTGCCTTCAGAAATCACCTAATTAGTAAATAGTCCACCTGTGTCATGTAATCTCTGTATAAATACAGCTGTTCTGTAAAGCCCTAAAAGGAGTGTTGGTGAAATAAACAGCATCATGAAGGCCGAGGAAGACACTAGGCAGATCCGGGATAAAGTCATGAAGATGTTTAGAGCAGGGTTAGGTTATAAAATAAAAAACCAAAGCTTTGAACATCTCATGGAGCACTGTTCAATCCATCCAAAAATAGGAAAGGTTATGGCACAATTGCAAACCTACAAAGACATGGCCGTCCACCTAAACTGACATTCCAGACAAGGAGAGCCTTAATCAGAAGCAGCCAAGGAGCCCATGTAACTCTGGAGGAGCTGCAGAGATCCAAGGCTCAGGAGGGAGAATCTGTCCACAGGACAACTATTAGTTGTGCCCTCCACAAATCTGGCCTTTATGGAGGAGTGGCAAGAATGCCATTGTTGAAAGAGAACCATAAGACATGAGAAGCGATGTGGGAGACGCAGCAAACTTGGAAGAAGATGCTCTGCTCAGATGAGACCAACATTTAACTTTTTAGCCTAAAAGCAAAACTGTGTGGCAGAAAAATGAAAATTGCACATCAATCTGAACACACCATTCCCACCATGAAACATGGTGGTGGCAGCATCATGTTGGGGGGGGGGGGGGATGCTTTTCTTCAAGGGCAGGGAAGCTGGTCAGAGTTGATGGGAAGATGGATGGAGCCAAATACAGGGCAAACCTGTTAGTCTGCAAAAGACGTGAGACTGGGGTGGAGGTTCACATTCCAGCAGGACAATGACCTGAAACATCCAGCCAGAGCATCTTCATGTTAGAATGGCCCCAGTCCAGACTGAAATCCAATGAGGAATTTGTGGCAAGACTTGAATTGCTGTTCACAGACACTCAATCCAATCTGACAGAGCTTGAGCTTCTTTTGCAAGGAAGAATGGGCAAAACGTTTCACTCTCTGGATGTGCAAAGCTGGTAGCTACCCCCCAAAAAGACTTGCAGCGAAAGGTGGTTCTACAAAGTATTGATTCCGGGGTGCTGAATACAAATGTTGCCACACTTTGCACATATTTGTAAGATGTTAAACCATTTCTCATTTTCCTTCCACTTCACAATGATGTGCCACTTTTGTGTTTGGTCTATCACATCAAATCCCAATAAAATATATTTAAGTTTTTGGTTGTAACATGACAATGTGGAAAATATCAAGGGGTATGAATACTTTTTCAAGGTACTGTACAGAGGAGCCTTGACATGGGCACTGCAGATTATGCATATACAATGCTTAAAAAAACAAAAATGAAGCTTTTTTTTTTTTTTTTTTTTTTTTTTTAATCCAAGTCTAGCATCAAGTCAAACTCCTGGGATGTTGAACTGGTCAGTGAGGTATCAGAGGGGGTTGTTAATCAGTTTCAGCTGTTTTGGTGTTTAATGAAATGTAACAGGTGTACTAGATGGGCAACAATGAGACAACCCCCAAAACAGGAATGGTTTTACAGGTGGAGGCCTGTAAAAAATTTTTGTTTTTTTCCTGACCTGTTTTTCGTGAGTTTTGCATTTGGTTAGGGTCAGTGTCACTACTGGTAGCATAAGGCCATACCTGGATCCTACAGAGGTTGCACAGGCAGTCCAACTCCTCCAGGATGGCACATCAATACATGCCATTGCCAGAAGGTTTTCTATGTCTCCCACCACAGTCCCAAGAGCATGGAGGAGATTCCAGGAGACAGTTACTGTAGGAGAGCTGGACTGGGCTGTAGAAGGTCCTTAACCCATCAGCAGGACCAGTATCTGCTCCTTTGTGCAAGGAGGAACAGGAAGAGCACTGCCAGAGCCCTACAAAATGACCTCCAGCAGGTCACTGGTGTGAATGTCTCTGACCAAACAATCAGAAATGGACTTCATGAGGGTGGCCTGAGGGCCCAGCATCCTCTAGTGGACCCTGTGCTCACTGCCCGGCACCATAGAGCTAGCTTGGCTTTTGCCATTGAATGCCAGAATTGGCCGGTCCACCACTGGCACCCTGTGCTTTTCACAGATGAGAGCAGGTTCACCCTGAGCACATGTGACAGACGTGAAAGGGTCTGGAGAAGCCGTGGAGAACATTCTGCTGCCTGTAACATTGGTCAGCATGACCGTTTTGGTGGTGGATCAGTGATGGTCTGGGAAGGCATATCCATGGAGGGACACACAGACCTCTACAGGCTAGACAATAGCACCTTGAATGACATTAGAAATCCTTGGACCCATTGTCAGACCCTACGCTGGTGCAGTGGGTCCTTGGTTCCTCCTGGTGCAGACAATGCCCGGCCTCGTGGGAAGAGTATGCAGGCAGTTCCTGGAGGATGAAGGAACTGATAACATTGAATGACCCCCACCATCGCCTGACCTAAGCTCTTCCTAGTCTTCAGGAGCCTTGCATTGCAAATAATAAATGCAATTTTTTTTATTCACATGTGGGTGTATGTATTACTATTATTATTTCTGTTATTTTTGTCTAGTAAATGGTGGACTTGGCTGTTAATACCTTTTACAGATTTTAATAAGTTTGGAGTTTTATAGCAATATCAATGTATTTTATTTGTTTTACATTGAATGTGCCTAATTTTTTTTTTTTCATTATAATTTTTATATAATAAAATCATATATTAATCACTTTAATAACCCTAGGCAGTTGCTTATTTCCCACTTGAGTTATAGATTTCATAAGTGCAGTTAAATTCAACAAGGGTTTCAAATGAGCCCAATACAAATATAAATTGATCCGTTTCACCATTACAGAATAATGGATCTCTGATACTGAAGAGACTGCGTGTACCTGTGGATGTTTTTACTTCTGTATTTTACATCTGTACGAAAAGGAACCAATGACCATTTTCCAGTGATAATATAGATATGTCATTATTTCCGCCCTTCTCATTCTGAACCATACCAAAACTGTCAATGTTACAGAGGAACTATTCTGTAACTGAATTTTATCTCATTGGGTTTCAGAATCTTAAGTCCTTCAAAATCCTTCTCTTCCTTCTTCTTCTTATTACATACATTATGGCTATAAGTGGAAATCTTCTCATTGTTGTGTTGGTGTCAACCAGTCATCTCATCAATCCTCCCAAGTATTTCTTTCTTTGCCATTTGTCTCTATGTGATTTTCTACTCTGCTCGATCATTCCAAAAACCCTAATGGTTATAAAAAATGGGGGAAACAGTATATCTTTCTTGGCCTGTTTCATTCAGTTTTACATTTTTGGATTTTGTCCCACAACAGAATGCTATCTCCTGGTGGTAATGTCCTATGATCGATATGTGGCCATCTGCAACCCCCTTAGTTACATCTTCATCATGAACTTTAATATTTGCCTTTATCTTGTTGCAAGTTCTTGGCTTGCTGCATTTCTTCTTTCCTTGATTTCTCTTTTTGTGAGCTATAGGTTGGAGTTTTGTGGCCCCAACACTATCAATCATTTTTATTGTGACCGTGATCTTATATTAGAACTTTCCTGTTCAGATACTTTTGCGGCTAAAATGGAGGCATCACTTCTTACCACCATTGTTGTCCTTTTCCCTTTTGTCTTTGTCATTGTGACCTATGCAGGGGCGGACTGACCATTTGGAAACTCGGGCACTGCCCGAGGGCCCGGGGTCAGTAGGGGGCCCCATGAGATGCTCCATGTACCTTTTTCATAGGCTTGTTTGAGTTTGGGCAAGGACACAGGGGCCCCATGATCCCCTATTGCCTGGGGGCCCCATGAGTTGTCAGTCTGCCCCTGGACCTATGTGTATATTTTTATCACCATTCTTGGCATCACCTCCAACATCGGGAGGCAGAAAGCCTTGTCCGCCTGTAGCTCCCACCTTTTTGTTGTGTGCGCATTTTATAGTTCATTAATCAGCATTTATCTAAGTCCTTCCAAAGGAAACTCTCTTGATACAAATAAGGTCTTATCTCTTTTATATACATTGGTTTATTGGTTACCCCTTTTGTTCAATGCAGTTATATATACTTTGAGAAACCAGGAAATAAGGAAAACATTGACTGTATTTTTTAAAAGAATATCACAATCTGATATGCATTCCTTTTGCTGATTTTTTTGCACATACTGTATGCTTCTAAGGGTAAGGATTGATGTCATATTTTTTTTTTTTTTATACTTTACAGCAAAAAAAAAAAATGCAAGATGATTGGTCACTTCAGCTCTTGTGCAAGTATACCTCTTACGGACTAGAGCAGTGGTCTCCAAACTGTGGCCCGTGGGTCTGATGTGGCCCTTTGCTTACCTTTATCTGGCCCTTGGGGCACTGTTCCTCCCACTGATATATGACACAAATCCTTCCACTATCACCAATGATGAGGCATCATTTCTCGTGCTGACACCAACATTGGAGCATTATTTCTTCTTCCATGGAAACCAATGATGAGGCATTGTTTCTTCCACTGACACTAATGATGAGGCATAATTCCTCCGACTAATTCCAATGATGGGGTACTATTCCTCCTCCTATTGACCATAGGTGTTATGTAATTTTTACTCTTACTGACCACAAGCCTGAGACATGGTCTAATCCCACTGATGCTTGGGCATTTTCTGCTCTCAATGGCTACAGTCTAGCCCCCCTAAAGTCTGAAGGACAGTAAACTGGCCCTCCGTTTAGGAGGTTTGGAGACCCTTGAATAGAATAGGGGTCTCTAAACTTTCTTAGCAAAGGGTCAGTTTACTGTCCTTCAAACTTTATGGGGGCCAGACTGTACCCAGTGGAGGCAGAAAATGCCCAAGCATTAGTGGGCATAAACAGTGCCCTATCATTGGTTTTGAATGGAAGGAATGCTGCCCCATTGTTGGTATCAATGGGAAGACTAGTGCCCCATCTATGGAGTCAGGGGGAATAATAGTGCCCCATTGATGGTGCCAGTGGGAAGAATAGTTCCCCATCTCTGATGTCAATTGGTGGAATAGTGCCCCATTAATGGTGTCAGTTGGTGGAATAGTGCCTCAAAGGCCAGATAAGACAAGCCAAGGGCCACAGTTTGGAGACTATACTAGGGAATTATTTACCCATGAAAATGAATTACATTCTTCTGCCTCCTTCCCCCTTCCTTCTAACACAACTGGGAAAAAAAATACCTTTTTTAAAATATATTTTTGCTTCATACATCTCCACCTAGGCAATGATGATGAGTGAAGCACAATATCTTGTGCAGACATGCCATAAGTGTGGTAGAGGCTTGTGGCATGTTCATGCATGCAGAAATTCCCCCAAAAACCTGCGTGTATATGCAGGACCGGATCTGGGGGGGGGGGGTGCTGGGGTGGGCTGTGCCCTCCCCATTAGATTTTATTTCAGCCCCTCAGGTCTCTGAGAATGCATCCACTATTCCAAGAGTCTGCCTGATGAGGACAATTGATGTAAGGGAGGACTCTGATGGAGACAGTTAATGTAAGGGGGAAAACTGAAGATGTAAGTGAGCACTCTGATGGGGACAATGATGTCAGGGGGGACTCTGATGAGGACCCTGATGTAAGGTGGGTCTCAGATGAGGACCATGATGTAAGGGGGCACTCTGATGGGGACCATGATGTAAGGGGGCACTTTGATGGGGACCATGATGTAAGGGGGAACTCTGATGGGGACACTGATGTAAGGGGGAACTCTGATGGGGACACTGATTTAAGGTGGGTCTCAGATGAGGACCATGATGTAAGGGGGCACTCTGATGGGGACCATGATGTAGGGGGTCACTCTGTTGGGGACCCTGATATAGGGGAGCAGAGTTTCTGCTTAATCATCCTAAGCTAATGACAGATGAATGCATATTAGAGTTCTTTGTTCATTCTTTTATCACCTTGGCAGTACCTGTAAGACATTACTTCTGGGTCATGACTCGTAGTACAGAAGTATGATGAGTATACAGAGAATACTGGTTTCCTGCATCTCTGTCACACTGTGTAACTGACTGTTGGTGACACGCACACTGACGTTTTACGGATCAGGTAGGCTAGATCTGGCCCTGAGTATATGGGATCCAGGAGAGAAGTGCAACATGTTTTCTTTTCTTTCTTGGGTCCCACTTACCTGGCAGAGACCCCCAGCATGTCTGTGCATGCATGATATATATGTCCAAGATGGCAGCACCAAAGCAGAGACAAGAAAAAGATCCTTGGGCTGAAAGGAAGACAACACAGGGCTCTATGGACTAGTTAATATGATTTTGTGCTTACATACAGAATCAATATAGAGTACTAGAAATACAATTTTAGGTAGCTGAGGTGAAGTTCTGCTTTAAAATAACAAAGTTATGTACAGTATATGTTATTTTTGAGACAAGCAAGGCTTTCTTTTGTCAGTACTGTCTTGCAAAAGTTAGTTTTTTCTTGAAATTAAAAAAAAAATGCATTCTAGTATTTTCTAATCTGACCTTGTGTCTGAATGGGGGTGAATTTTTAATAAATAGCTTGTGGTGCTCTAATGAGGAAAGTTGCATATTCTGCAAACCTCTAAAAGTGATAAACCCTTTTGGGGAGATCTCACCAAAAATGACATTTTTGTTAGAGAGGGGGGGAGAGAGTGAGAGAGTGGGGGGGGGGGGGGAGGGGGGGGGGGGGGGGGAGAGAGGGGGGGGGGAGAGAGTGAGAGAGGGGGGGGAGAGAGTGAGTGAGAGAGGGGGGGAGAGAGTGAGAGGGGGGGGTGAGGGGGGGAGAGAGTGAGAGAGGGGGAGAGTGAGGGGGGGAGTGAGAGGGGGGGGAGTGAGAGAGGGGGGGAGAGAGTGAGAGGGGGGGAGTGAGAGAGGGGGGGTGAGAGGGGGGAAAGAGAGGGGGGGAGAGAGAGGGGCGGAGAGAGAGGGGGAGAGAAGGAGAGAGGGGGGAGAAAGAGAGAGAGGGGGGGAAGAGAGAGAGAGGGGGAAAGAGAGGGGGGGGGAGAGAGAGGGGCGGAGAGAGAGGGGGAGAAGGAGAGAGGGGGGAGAAAGAGAGAGAGGGGGGAAGAGAGAGAGAGGGGGGAAGAGAGAGAGAGAGGGGGGAAAGAGAGAGGAGGGGGGGGGGAGAGAGGGGGGGAAGAGAGAGGAGGGGGGGGAAGAGAGAAGAGAGAGGAGGGGGGGGGGAGAGGGGGGGAAGAGAGAGGAGAGAGGGGGGGGGGGAGAGGGGGAAGAGAGAGGAGGGGGGGGAGGGGGGGAGAGGGGGGGAAGAGAGAGGAGGGGGGGGGAGGGGGGGGGAGAGGGGGGGAAGAGAGAGGAGGGGGGGGGGGAGAGGGGGGGAAGAGAGAGGAGGGGGGGGAGAGGGGGGGAAGAGAGAGGAGAGAGAGGGGGGGGGAGAGGGGGAAGAGAGAGGGGGGAGGGAAGAGAGAGGAGGGGGGGGAGGGGGGGAAGAGAGAGGAGGGGGGAAGAAGAGAGGAGGGGGGGGAGAGGGGGAAGAGAGAGGAGGGGGGGGAGAGGGGGAAGAGAGAGGGGGGGGGGAGAGAGAGGAGGGGGGAAGAGAGAGGGGGGGAAGAGAGGGGGGGCGAGAGAGAGGAGGGAGGGGAGAGAGAGGGGGGAAGAGAGAGAGGGGGGAAAGAGAGAGAGGGGGGAGAGAGAGGGGGGAAGAGAAAGAGGGAGGGAGAGAAAGAGAGAGGGGGGAGAGAGAGAGGGGGAGAGAAATAGAGAGAGGGGGAGGGAAATAGAGAGAGGGGGAGGAGAGAGAGGGAGGGGGAGAGAGAGGGGAAGGGGGGAGAGGAGGAAGGGGGGAGAGAGAGAGACAAAAATCCATTAAACAACAGAGGTATACGTAATCCACGGTTCCCTTGTGTACTCAGATTTAGAGGTAATTTTGTTAATGATACCAGTAAATTTATCATGAATCATAATCCAATGAAGTTTCTGTTTGCCCGAGTCTAGTGGAATTGTTGACTGTCTCCAACGTCTAGCTATAGTAATTCTTGCCGCCAACAAAAGATAAAGAATTCATTGAACGGACTTCTTAGGACTATAAGTGGGCAATAGCTGGAATAAGACTACTTCAAGGGATCTGAGTATATTGCTGAACTATTTTAATATGAAATATTTTCTTAGTTTGTTGTGCAGTCTAAATACATTTGTTTTCTTCCTCACCTGCGTTCTATGGAGAC